ACACGGTTGGAATATGTAGAGTTTTTGCGAATATCATGGGCTGCGTCTATCTGAGGGCTTATCAAATGAGTCAGCCAGTCCACAAGTGTCATTGGCTGCCACAAAAGAGATGGGGAAATGTGTCGTCGATCGAGAGGCCTGGTAAACGAGAAAGGGATGGTGTCTGGGGGAAGAGCATCGTCCGACTGAAGCCAAGGGAGCCAAATATTGGAATCGACAAACTTGGTGATATTGCGGAATTCTATGACGCGCGTTGAATTCCCAATTCGCGACTTGGCATTATCGGTCAGATTGGGCAGAAATGTGAGGGTTCTTTCCCTCTCTTCGTCGTCTTCAAGCGAACTTATGAAGTTGACCCACCACCGCAGACAACCGATCATTTCTTCTTCTTGTAAGGTCCTTCGCTGTAGTTCTTTCACCACGTCCGAAAACGTGTACATCCGGACACCATACCTCTCAGGGAGAGTGTCAACCAAATTAGGTGGGTCGCCAGGTGACGTCGGAAGTTGTGTAGGCACCATTTTCATGAAGGAGGTAAAGTCAGAGTGAATCTCCCGAACGTCCTTGGTGTGACAGATGCCCGAATTTGTCAAGATGGGGAAATGAACGTTGGAGGAATAGTCGAAACAGTCATAAAATGCATCTTGCAAGATTTTCGACACTTTGGCATCCGGAGTGGACGGTTGGAACGTGAAGTAGCGCATAGCATATGAGGCCTTTTCTCTTGAAGCTGCCGCCCGAGCGTCAGCAGTCGGGACAGCAACACTGTTGACTATAGGCCAAGCTTCCCAGACCTTGCGAATCTCCTGTTCATATACGAGCCTCGCAAGGAACCCACCTACATACAGGAGTTCCTGATTCCATTCTGTGTGAATTGTCAATACGCCTCAATGGGAACCGACCGAGAGGCTGGCACGAACTTGCAATGTGGCCGTTTCTAAGTAATCGTGAGATAACTTTACGTGTAAAAAATGTGCACCCACGTTAGATCAATGGATCCTCGTTCAACAGTGGGAATAAACCGGCCAGACATGTGCCCACCAATACCAGTCGTTTGCGCTGTACTTTGGCCCTGCGACTCATCAGCACGTTTCATATTGACTGCAATGTAGAGCCTACGATGAAGATCCGGGACATGTATTCCCTAAAACATTATGACAACATGACGATGTGTACAGAAACAAACAAAAAACAAGTAACATACCCATCTAGTTGTGGAAATAGACCTTGCGGTCCTCTGAATATGCTTCCCATGTCCGGATCCCTCTTCTCCTCTGCCGTTCTTGCATCCTGCTCCTCTTTGGAGAACTGTAGTTATGATGAGTACAAAGTACAGAACAAAGTTGCTGGAAGGCTCACGTAGACCATCTCAAAATCAAAGTGGGAAGGAGGATCCTTCTTCGTCATTGCTCGTAAGCCCTTATGAAGGTCCTTGCTAGGAGTAGTCGTAACTTGAGCCGAATATACCGCGTATTTGGCACGATGGGTCACCCAGGGCGGGTGGTCATAAGTCGACGCTCGAGATACAGCTTTAGTTACTTTGACGACTTTTGAGACTTCGCGCTTTGAGCCATCCCAAAAACCTTTGCGTTTCACAGGATCCTTTGATAGATTTTCATTGCCAGGGCGATGCGTAGATATCATCTTCGTTCCGGCGGCGCGTGCCCATTCTGCGAGTTCAACAGAAATTTCTTGGGCTGTCAGGGCAAATCAGTATGCTTCACGTGTCGAGGATACGACGTGCAACCCACTAACTACTGAAAGTCCCTTGATATGCATCGTGTCCTCCTTGCTCCTCGGTATCATATCTTTGGGAACACGGATGGAGCTGGGTACTTGTCTGGACTTGGCAATCTTCATGAAGATTTTGTCATTGAAAGAAACATGGGCATTTTCCACACATGACATGAATGTCATGGTAGCTGCCAGGAACCGGGCCAAGTCGAATGGCTTCGGGACGGGAACTTGCATATCTTCCTTCAGCTGCATCTCGATGGAAGTCCACTCGCTCTGGGAACAAGTATCGTCCAACGTATATAGCTGGAGAGATATGTGAGTATCGCGAGCTTTTACCGAGCTTATGGAGCTTCAGAGCATACCTGATCGCCTTGAAAGAATATCGACAGGCTTTTACCTATCAGGTGTTCCGATTGGCATGGTGGATCTAGTCAAGGAAAGAGCTTGGCGCTTACCTCCAGAGAAGACCTGCGGGCTATCGGTGATACCGAAGACGCTGTAGAACCCTATAGAGAATAACATCATGAGAAGGCCAATTGACGGCGATACATAACTCTACGAACCAACTCCAAATGCCCCGATCTTCTGTTCGTCCGGGTTGCCATCCGCTGGGTAAAAGTCAGCGCAAATCATTTGGGAATTGAACCATCATACCAATCTTCGTCAGTCGTCCCCAGTCCTTATCTTCGAAATAGTCACCATTGTTGCGAACAACCCATTTGTACAACTGTTGGGATGGCGAGCATTGGTAATTCCGAGGGCAGCACCACCCCGAGCTCACCTTCGTTGTGAGCAAGTCCGGGAAATCGGACGTGCCATTGATTCCATTTGTCTTGCCGTTTGCTCCCGCAGAATGTGTAGCGTATTCCTTCGTCTGAAACTCTATTAGGACCTTCTTGGCTCTAGCGTCGTCTGCATTCTGTAATAGTTCTCGGAACACTGAGCACGTTTAGTCAACCGCGCTACCCAACATAGTGGTTTGACGAACCTGTAAACTCTTCGGGATATCGAGCGAGCACTTTATCGACTAGCGCACGCTGGTTTACTTCTACTCTCTTCGGTGTTCTAGTCGTCTGTAGTACACCTCTTAGTGCGAGCGCCTAATTTGGAAACATTTATCACCAACCTTGCTCAGGCTCGCCATATATTACGCCGGTGGCCTAGGTTGCTTTGCTGGTCGTTGAAAGGGTATACGGATAGGAAAGATGCTGTGATATTTAAAGCTGTTGTATTTGCTGTGGATGTGAAAGCAGGCGGGTCTCTACAGCTGGCATGTCAAGAATAACGTTTGATTAAAGGATTCCGGAAGCCACAGCCGCATTGACATGCAGCAGGACTTAGACGCCCAACAACGATTCCTTCAGAACTTGTAGCAACCGCGTAAATGGAAGTCGGGCTGCCGACTCCTTTCAAGTTGTATCCAGCAAAAATGAGAAGCAGCATTGTCACAACCCCAAGTTGTCAAGCTGGTAACAGGCAGACTAGACGTTCCTTCAATTTCTTCTATCATGCCTCTACTGCGCATGCAGAGCCTCATCAGTTCCGAATCCGATGATTAACAGCTATCAACAAAATTTTGGCATTGATTCTTTGTTGCGATCACAGGATGTTTTTTGTCCAAGTCTAGAGAGCCTCAGGCCTCAAGCTTAAGACCTCATTGACATGATTCGCTGGAGTAACAATTCTATGCGCTGGAATGGGATCTAAGGGAGAGAGTATTTTCCCAAGAAATAGAGCTCATCGGAGTCATACCTTGGCTGTAATCTAGGCTCCAGCTTTCGAAACTGCGGCAGGTCCCTCAAAGTGTTGTTTCTCCATTGCCCGGTCATCCTGGAGATTCCGACTCGAATCATGGGATCGCGTACTATGACTGGCAACGTCGGGCCCAGTCAGACTTCACTGCCAATACACTTACACTCGATGTATTACAGTATGGGTCGTTTGACGCCGATATTGAGAGTACTCTGCCTGTTCAAACGCCCTGGGTGAGAATCGAATCTGGTGAGCGACCTCTGGAAACAATAGATCGCGACCTTATCCTTATTCCTGCATTTCAGTCATGAGATACAACCATAAAATTTGAATGTAGGTCTAAACAGTCCAATCGCCCATATCGCCCATAATGACTCGGATTAGTGAATTCACAGACGAAGTTCTCGTTCTAGTTACACGATCCAGCCTGGAATTAAGAAGTTCTCCGAGGGAATGTCTTGTTCTTGCATGCTCGTTTCAAGCCGAACTTTAGGCTCGTGTGCAATACTCTACCCTCTCGACTGGGAAGCTTTCGCCCACCCGGAACCTATACTTTGATAATGCTGAACAGGTGGGCACATTCTGATGTTGATGAACATGGTGTGCGTCGTCTCGTTTAATGTTTGAGATCCTTCACCCCATATGTACGTTACCTTTTTTATCTACCACATCTTGGTGATTCCATGATTCTGTTGCAGTCCACAGTGATCTTCAATATCACTATCGCCTTCCTCGATGACCCTAACGTCAATCCTGTCATCCGAATATCTAGTTATGTACCCACTATCAACAGCGTCGGTGCGATCATTCTAGGCTTGATCCTCATGCGTCAGAATCGCACGCATAAACAAGAGGATGCCGTAAGCTAACTCATGCTGGTGGAGCATCAATCTGGTTTAGGTTGTTTCTAATATTTATGACCTGAATACATTCCTCCTGTGGGGGTACGTCTACTCAACCAACTTTACTTGCTCAACTACTTAATGTTGTCCCTGTACCAGCATTATCTTCTCTGTTCTTGCTTTTGCCTTGGTATTCCAATACTCGGATCGTCTAACATGTGTCCTGGTCGGCTGTGCAGTCACGGTTGACCTGGTAACGTGATATCGGCGGTGTGGGATACACGCTCTATCTGGAGGCTGTATCCATGCAGACAAGGAATCAGAAGGAACTTTCAGTATTGGGCGATGCACAACCGCCTCTTTGGCAAAATTCTGCGCCACCTTCTTTGGAAGAAAGTGCATTGATGCCAACTGGACAATGATTCTGAAGCGGCCGGTACAGACTCGGATTAACTGAATCACCCTGGAATACAGAATGTTTGGGCCTCTATTCTCGTTACATCGCAGTTTCCCAACAACCAGTCCTCAATACTCAATCTTCTCTCAGAGTTGTTGATGTGTATACGTCCTGGAATGTTATAAAGTCCTGGGTGTACTCATCTATTATATGGCTTCACGGTCTAGCTGTCAATCCTTCGTACCATAAAATCCGACAGAAAACCATCGACCTCATAGACGACCATAGGCATCAAGTGGTGGCCTGCCAAAGGTAGGCTGGCAGGGCAGTAACGATCAGCAATTCAATTCAATCAAATTCCAACACCATCACTTACAGTCGGTGCAGGTTTATTTTGAAGGATTGCCTCAATTTTGTCTAGGATCTCAGGCGTTAGCTTGGGAATAACGTCCAGTGCCTTCAAGTTATCGACCACCTGCTCAGGCTTGGAGGCGCCGAGGATGACGGTGCTCGTGTTCGGATTCTTTGCAATCCATGCTAACGCCAAGTGTGTGACGCTACATCCTAACTCCGTCTCAGCGAGCTTGGAGAGCGCTTGGACTTTGCTGATCTTGGAGAGACCCTCCTCCTCGTTGAGGCTCTTCATAGTGTCCTTGAAGAAATCGGAGTGGGCAGCGAACCGCGAATCTGCCGGGACTCCATTGTTGTACTGGAGATCGCGAATCATCAGCGGTCTGATCTGCAGGCTATCTTTGGAACGTCGTTTACCTTCCCGGTGAGGAGGCCGCTAGCCAATGCAGACCAAACAGTGGTCCCGATGGAATATTTCTTGTAGATAGGTGCGTATTCCTTTTCAGGGCGTTCACGGTGGAACATGCTAGATACCTATCAGGAAACTGGATCGCGCGCAATATCTTTGTCGACTCACTGGTGCTGGCACTGCTCAGCAATGGGAGGGATCAGGTTGAGCTTCTCAGCGACGTCTGGACAGCTTATTAAATTTGGGACATTCAAGAAGCAGATGAAACGCACGGTGAGCCTCCTCAATGTCCCTTGCAGACCATTCTGACGTGGCCCAGTAGAATGCCTGCAAATATCTTGAGCAGGACTAAAAAGACTTGAGACTTGAGACTCACCCAGCCCTTCTCAATGACATAGTTGAAAGCGCGGACAGTCTCCTCCATGGGTGCTGCAAACGATGATGTCTTCAATATCGATGGTTTTGTTCATAACTTAACACATACTTGTATAATCAGGTCGGTGGGCGAAGAGGACATCAACATAGTCGAGGCCAAGGCGGTTCAGTGACTCCTGGGTACCCTCAATAATGCTAGGCCGTCGATAAGTTCACGTGACCTGATTCAAGTTTTATTGACACGCACTGTTTTCTGGAGAGACCAGTGTCATTCGGACCAGTACGGGTACCAAAGAACAATTTTGTGGTGATGACCAAATCGGAGCGACGGTAGCCAAGTTCTTTGATGACGCGACCCCTGTGCAGAGACCAGGTTAGACTCATCCGACGAGGATTCCTTTAGCACGCACATTTCAACTTCGGAGTGACCCTTTGCGTAGCCCTCAGCGGTGTCAAACATGTTAATACCATGCTCGAAGGCAACTTTGACGATTTCCTGATTGTGAAATCGAGTTGAGGCTCCCCATTCACTCAAGATCTAGGCTCCCTTACCTTGACAGGGTCACCAACAACGGTTCCTCCCAGCGTCAGCCCTACGACATATTCTCAGCACCATAGTAATACTGGCCTGATTAACAGGCTACTCACATCCACCAAGTGAGAACACCGGGACTCGTAGGCCGCTGGGGCCCAGACGGCGGAAGGGCATGTTCTTGGGATCGAATTCTGTTTTGACAGACATGGTTGATACGATGATGGTGTGCGGCAAGGTGACTATTGCATGGGACTTTACAATGGCTTCAACTCATGTTATATATGTATGTGAACAGAGCACATTTCTAAGCGACACTGTCTCCGGTTCGTGTCAAAACGCAATGCCACTATCGATAGGGGTGTTATTCACAGATGCAGCAATTGCATAAATGAGTACGCATACAGTCCAAATTATTTAACATCGTTCATCGTTCATAGTTACAATTGATTCAGAATGCTAGCAGAGACCCGGCGCAACACCAAATAATTTGTAGTACGTCTGTGTGGCGAGTACATCAACGAGTTGTTTCGGAGTGTGTCGGCTCGGCCTCGTTTGTCAGCCAGCCGACATGCTCCCTGCCAGTGGGAGGCGTCTTGGATGGGAACGTATTTGGGTTCAAGTCCTCCGTTTTTTTTCTTTGTATCCATTTGTGTCCTATTAGAGTATGCTACCCTATGCAGGACTTTGCTATCTAGTCTATGGGGCCCCGTGCCCCTGCTGCACCTCAGAGCCCGCGAATGCCCTGGTGTGAGGCGTACCTCCACCAGTCCGAAGTCCTCCGTTAATGTCCATATGGACGCGCAAGCGCAAGCTAGAAAAAAACGGACCATTAGCTGTTCGTACAAATTTTCTCTCAGGACACCTCACTAGTTTCCGTTGTATAAATATAGAAATTCTAGATAGCACCTAAGGATTTTCCGATAAACGCCAAGGCACAACACGCATGAGACCTTATTATTTTATGTAAGTACGAAGCGAAGGTTTCCGACCTGAGTATATTCCAATTGTTGGTAGATGTGAGTTCTTACTCATGCATCATGCTTACCTTCATGTGGTATCGCAACGCCTTACTCTCGGATCCAGAGCACAAGATATCTGTCCAACAACGGGGTTCCGTATTCCCCAGGTACCTTATGGCTAGACGGACTCAAATGTTTGATCTTCACATAGGTCAATTACGGCACTTATATAACACATCGACACTACGTATTGACACTGGGAATTTATTTTCTGACCATGAGGCGGATTCTGTCAATCTCTTCTCACAGACGGCCGTTGGAATCCAGGGCCGGGCGACCAAATGTTGGCTACAAGCATGAGGTTTCAGTTTCGTAACGTTACTCATCAAAGACAAGCATTTACCGGGGCAGCCGGCTGGTTCTCCAGAATTGCTTCAATCCTGTCCATTATCTCAGGGGTGAGTTTGGGAATGACGTCGAGAGCCTTCAAGTTATCGACGACTTGTTCAGGTTTCGAGGCCCCGAGGATGACAGTGCTTGTGTTCGGGTTCTTTGCGACCCACGCAAGTGCCAGGTGCGTGACGCTGCAACCAAGCTCTATCAGGTGCGTGTCAGTTCAAGCAATCGTGTATGACAACAAAGGGAGGAAATACCTTGTTCTGCGAGTACGCTCAACTCGTTGACCTTGCGGATCTTCGTGAGACCCTCCTCCTTTTGCAAGCTGTCCACTGTGCCCTTGAAAAAGTTGGAGTGCGTGGAGAAACGGGTCCCATCTGGGATACCGGCGTTGTACTGCATCCAACATGAGAAAATGATTGTTGGCTTATCGGAAGTAGCACACCTTTCCAGTAAGAAGACCGCTAGCAAGAGCGGAGAAGACGGTGGTGCCCAGCTGGTATTTCTTGTACAAAGGACTGCGGTAAATTTGTCTCAGCCACTGATCATAACGAATATGATAGTAACCCACCGGTACTCCTTCTCAGGGCGCTCACGATGGAACATGCTGATCAAGGACTCAGAAATCTACAGTCACAAAAATGAGGGACACCTACTTGTGTTGGCATTGTTCAGCAATAGGTCCATGGAGTCCAAGCTTCGTCGCGATGTCTACAATCACTCGTCAGCAATATTCACAACTCCCTAACACAAAAGAGCTCACGCTGCGCTTCCTCAATCTCGTATGCAGACCATTCTGACGTTGCCCAGTAGAATGCCTAGAACACCGTGAGTACTTCACTGTTATTTTCCTAGTCAGACGACATACCAAACCCTTTTCAATCACCCAGTTGAATGCGCGTACCACCTCTTCCATGGGGACTAAACAATTGAGTTGAGCTGATTTTGTCCCTTCGGTATACATGAATAAACCATACCTGAGACATCTGGGCGGTGCGCAAAGATAACATCGACGTAGTCAAGACCAAGACGCTCGAGACACTCCTTGGTTCCTTCAATGATACTGCAACTAGGTCAGCACTCTCTAAAGTGCAATTGCTAACAACTCACTGTTTCCTCGAGAGACCACCATCATTGGGACCAGTGCGCAGACCCCAGAATAATTTGGTAGTGATGACAAGATCTGTCCGTCGGAGGCCGAGCTCCTTAATTACACGACCCCTTCCCATAAAGTCAACTTCGGCGCTCGCTAAAGTGTCCATGAACCTCACATTTCCACCTCGGACTTGCCTTTCGCATAAGCCTCCGCGGTATCGAACATGTTGATACCATTGTCGAATGCGACTTTGATTATATCCTTTTGGTGGGGGTCAGATCCTCTGATATTATGTGAAGATTGAGGAGTTTAATTAATGCTCACCTTCACTGGGTCACCGATCACAGTTCCACCAAGTGTAAGCCCTAGGTAAGTTCCCATTTAGAACCGCCAAACACGAAATAATAAACAAAACACACATCCACCAAGCGAGAAGACAGGGACTCGGAGACCACTAGGGCCGAGCCTGCGGAAAGGCATGTTCTTAGGGTCGAATTCGACCTTGACATCAGATCCAGACGCCATTGTTTGCGCGAAAGACGTTGAGAATGAAAGGAGTCGAGCAAGGGGAATAAACCTTGAGTGCGTAAATGGTATTTAAGGAATTCAGACATTGCTGTTGCGGGCCGCCGTCATCACCGACTTGACGTCCGGCAAATCATATCAACCATCTATATCATTCAAAGTCCACCATGTTGTCGTCGAGACATGCCAAAGTCAAGTGTCAGATGACCTCCAAGCATTTGAGCGTGGCATCAATCTCAAGCCCGGGAGAGTGAGTGGCAATTGGTGAGTACATGCACTTAGGCCGCCTCTAGGTGGGTATAGTTAGATGGCATGCGGTATTCGTAAGAATATCGGAGAAATGCAAGGTTTCTTGATGGGCGACTGACAGACTCGCAGCGGCTTGTCAGCATCATGCTCTAGCCCCTCCTTTGCTTTTTTGGGCATGTGGATGCGTGTACTTAGTAGCGCACGACAAGGCCTGCAGTGCAAGTGGTTACGGGTGGTGTGGTTTACTTGCATGATTCAGGTTACTTACTACAATGTTTGCAGCAAGCCTGTATGATAGGCTTGTATTACCACGGACAAGTCGAATGGCGAAGCCAGGCTGGTCGAAATTTGGGCGAAGCACGGAGTTTTAATTTTAGCAGGTGCCGGTGGTGCCGCTTTAGGTAATGATTGTTTTTGTGCAGCGTCGACCCCTCATTCACATCGTACAAAGTACTGTATGCCCCTCCAACATCATAGTACATCGAGCAACTGTACTTAATATTGAATAGGGTGATAAAATGATACCAATTGATGCATTCTACCCGCCCATTCCCCAATACCAGCCACTCGTTGAATCGTTGATTTGGACTGTCGACCCTTCGAGCCTTGACCAAGATATATAAAAAACACACTCCTTGCAGATATCTTTGGGATGTTGTGTTCCTTGTGAAATAAAGGGTAAAGACTGATAGTGAAAGCACCGCTGAGTGAATGTAGAATATCGCTAAGTGTGCGATTGATAACATGAGAAACTATGTAGGATGTCGACGGAACATGGGTACAATAATTTTGAACAAACTGCTCACCATCCGTAGTCCCATGTTAAGTTTCCGTTTAAACAAAGCTAACGTATCCGACTCTAGTTGAGGGGAAATATAATCTACAATTGAAAGACGCTCCCCGTTACCGGTTGGCTATTCTTCCCGCTCATATTATCAGACTGAACGATCTCCTCCTCGGTGATGTGCACAGCCACCCGTTGCATGCTGAAGTGATGGTCCCGCGTACTTCGCCCTCGAAAAAGGTTGGTGAGGATTCCACCTACATCAGAGGACTGTTCAGTCGAGGAGCTGCCACCGATGTGGAAGTGTACTTGGAGAATGATGAGGCAGAATGTAATTCCCTGGAAATTTTCATGAACAACTCGAACTCGTGTACAAACCGATTCATTGCACTTACTACAATCGGAGGGATAACGCCCAGCATGATGTATTCGCCATTAGATCCGATCAAGAATGATATTAGGAGTGCAAGCACACTCGTTGCGTATAAAGCGCCGCTCTCAATGACGACGATGAAAACTGGTAAAAGATTGGAAAGGCCTCCTGGCATAGAACTGCGAGTGTGATAAATTCGCCATGCAATTGAAACTGTATTATTTTGGTCATCAGTAGCCAGCAGAGCACGTGAAATAGACGTACCGGTACAGATAACGCTGACAAACATGGTCAATGTGTAGAATGTAGTGATACACCCTGAAGTAGCGGTGGAAACATTGGACAGCGCATATTCCCGAGAGAGGGACCAGACGACATAGTACCCGGTAGCTGCAAAACGACAAGATAAGACATTGATTGAATAATACCCTTCGAAACCCTTACCCGCATTGACGATCAGCACGATACAACCAGGGATGGCAACAAAGCGGCTTCTATGGTTAAGCACATGACATCGCCAAACCTACTCTACTCAAAGGGATATCAAACATTCAAGTGGGTAAACTTACAACTACACCATCAGCAAGAGTGGTTTGCGTAATGTAAAGTGCCTTTGATGCGAGTTCCAACGGCGAAGCAGGGTTTGAATAGTAGGCATTTGCACCAATCGTATCCACCTTGAATACGAAGGCTTCTAGCGCTCGAACAAAATCGATTATAAGATGCTGAAGGCAACTGTGTTGAGCGATTCTCCCAAGAGGTTTTATCAGTACACTCACAGCTGTTGCAATACAGAGTAACAAGGTTGCCACAGGGACAAGAAGTTGTCGTTGAATGCCAGTTTTCTTGAATAAGACGAATAGCGTCAACCAGTATAAAGTAAAGAAAACGCCTGTTAAATGTTTGAGATGACATCATGACTTCGAGTTCAACTATTCCAATGGTCGGCAACGCACCGTAAAACAAAGTCTCGAGGAACAAAGCTAAAAATGAAGCTTTGTCCAGAGGTATGCCCATTATGAATACAGTAATGTGACTGGACCAATCGGGTCAGATTTAGACAGGAGATACGACCAAGGCAAGTTTTTTCGAGCACGAATAAGCGCAGGTAGTCGCCTTCTAGATAAATCGCAGTGCGGAGTTGTGCTGCAAAAAAGACTCATAATAGGTGTCTGGGCTGCAAAGTCAATCCAAAGAATTCTATTTAGCATATACCGTAAGACCGAGCATCGAAATTACTCACTGCTGTAACTGTCTAACCATTTTCAGCGTGGTCTAGTTCAGCCCTTTTTGATGTTCGTTACCCGATAACATGACGCCACGGACTCTGAGGAGTATTAATATTGCCACAGTTGACAACCAGCTGATGATGATCGATGATCTGCAGCATCATTATGGGGCGTAAGAGGCTGACATCTAGGAGCTGTTAAATTACACCTAAACCTCAGGATTCATGTTCCTAACCTTAAGGCCCAGCTAGCCATATCTAAACCGCCTTGTAGCAATGCTAGCAATGATTAAATTGTTCCATTTTTGAGCGATGCTCGGATCCCAAACGAGTCGGGCAATGACTCATCTATCTCTGTTTGAATCGGTGCATGATGCCGTGAAGGCTAAAGTACGTCCTCGTACAATATTTGAGTATGAGGCCTCGAATGTACAGAGACTGGTAGTCTCAATTGTTAGACATATCAGTCTGACATATGTTATGTAGCATGCACACCTATGTATCACAGGCGCACCATAAATATTCTGTCGCTATAGCGGACGTACCTCGAGAGACTATAGAAAAGTGATAAACCCATTCAGAGACGCAATTCTTAACTTCCTTTGGGAAGATTGATCGACTCCGCGGTCTTGCACAACGAATTCGCAATGCAATTGGTGGGTTTAGTTAGAGAATGACGTGTATTTGAGAGATGATCAGACTAGTACCAGAGGAAGCACGGACTTTGAAGAAAGGTGGCGCCCGGCTGTCGTCATAGGGTCGGAGTGGCGTGGCAGGCGAAAAACGGAACATTACTCACTGTGCATGTCCATACTTACCTGTTCCAGCAAGTGTTTAAAGCTTGATCTCGTCTCGAAAGGAACAAAGCATCCGAAGTCAAGGCTCACATGTCACTGCTTGCAGGAAGACATCTGCAATAGACTCCGGAAAGATACGCTGCATTTGCTTATCTCCCCTGACAAGATTGATATCAACAGTTATCATATACCTCTAAAATTGCTTCAGAATAATAACGTACGCTGAATATCACTCTCATGGCGTGAAATCTGCACTTCTGGATTACACATCAAGGAATTCGAGGAATATGGATCCCTCGCGGGCCCCACGTCAAGACACTCTCAGGCTGGAGTGTACATGAGAGTGTTGCCTGTCAAGTGGCATTTTCATGATCAACCGATCATCCTGTGTCTACAGGAGGTTCTCGTAACCTGCTTGTTGCACCAGGGTAAGAAAAAAAACCATCCCTTTTCTGAGATGGTATGCGGCAGTATGACCATCATTTGCATACCGCGACCGCGGCGTATTTCCAGCAAGGAGATAAACTTTCCTTTTCGCTTGCTCGACGCTGAGCTTGCGAAAGTCCGTGCTAAACATTCAGGCGGAGCGTACTGCAGTGGTGAAGGATGATATGGAGCAAATGGTATCTGCGCGGGAACAAAAGTTGACTACTTCGACCGGCACAACCGGCACCTGCAAATTCTTAAACTCCGTTCTTCGCCCCGATGGCAGCTTGGCCGATATAACTTAGCCCCTGATCAGCATGAGGTTAGTCCGTGAATTGTTTATTTGGTTATCTACGCTAGTACTCGAGCTCATGTGAGCGTAGATGGCCAAATAAAAATCATTCATTCAATGCATCCGTTGGGAATCGCAGATAGTTGGGCGCCATCGATGCGTGTATCTTTCTAATCGCGATATTCTTGTGAATCCTACTTAGCTTTACATAGTATTTTCTACTTCCACAATAACGGTATCTTCTACAATGTTCTATGATCTTCGTCTGCGTCACATTGACATCCGCCGTCTACCCTATCTATTTCTTCAGTAACGAGCGCCCAGTCATTTCTAATGGAATTAATTCATCAATAAGGCATCAGACCCAACTGCATACAAGTCTTACCTTCTGGCTGAGTCAAGCCCATAATTGCCAAAATAGTGGGTGCAACATCAGCAAGTGCACCCCCCTCTCCTTCGCCGTCTTCCTCGTCGCTCGCAAACTCAAGACCCTGGGCTGTCATGATGAAAGGCACCTGGTTGGTAGTGTGTGCAGTATGAGGGGCACCAGTCTCCAAGTTGATCATTTGCTCCGCATTTCCGTGGTCTGCAGTAATGAGCAAAACGTATCCAGCCTCAACGCATGCATCGTAGACCGTTCCGACCGCCTTGTCAGTAGCAGTGATAGCCTCTATCGCAGCCTCATACACACCCGTGTGGCCGACCATGTCGGGCGGGGCAAAATTGCACATGACGAACTCGTGCTTCTTGCTCTTCACCACCTCAGCGACCTTGTCTGCGACACCTTGGGCGCTCATCTCTGGCTGCTTGTCGTATGTAGCGACCTTGGGAGATGCGATCATATGGCGTTC